TTTTAGCAAAGCTTTAATAAATTATTTCATACTATTCTTAGGAGAAAGTAGAGTGATATGATACTACAATTAGAGGAATTCAGAACTAGTTGAGTACCTGAATAAAAGAATTGTTTGTTAATGTGTAATGCAGTGTCAGTGCCAAAGGATGTTTCCAGAGATCTGCACTATTTAATTTTTATCACTGATTTAGATAAAGATGTAAATGGTTTACTCATCATCAAGGTGGGAAGTATAGCTAGCAGAGTGGATGATAAAGTTAAGGCTCTCAAAGCATTTTGTAAGGCTAGAACAATAATCTTATTTTAACAAGAGGAAATTTGGTAGACGTATTTACCCTTTGGTATTAAAAAATCAACTGCATAAGTACAAAATGGGACGTAATTAGGTAGGAGTTTTGAAGAAGAAATGAGGACTCTGATGAATTGCAAGGCTTTTTCTGTTTCTTTTATTCACCAGTTATCCATCAGTTATCCCAAGTAATTTCCCTCTCCTTCTCCCTTCCAGTGAGCCATCCCATATGACAAATTTTTTTAGAGGAAAAAAAAGTCCCTACATCTAATTGATACATCAAATAAGTATGAAAACAGTACATCAAATAAATAGGAAAACAGTCACAATTTGTGACACCTGCAGTCTTCCTACCTCCACATCCTTCTTCATCCAAGTCATTCTTAATCTTTACCATTTTGTTTCATTTCATTTTGATTTTTTGGTGTGTGGTTTTCTTTTCATTTACATTGTTTGTAGCTGCTGTGTATGGTTTTCTTGGTTCTACCTAATTTCACTGTGTATCAGTTCATGTTGGTCTCTCCATGCTTCTCTGTATTTCTCACACATCATTTCTTATAGCACAGTAGTAGTTCATTACATTCATGAATCAAAGGTTATTTAGCTATTTCCCGATGAGCATGTCCTTTGTTTCAAGTTCTGAGCTATCACAAAAAGTGATGCTATAAATGCTTTGTAGAGTATGAGGGACTTTCTTCTTATTGATGGCTTCCTTGGGGTATGAGCCTAATAATGAAGTCTCTGGTTCAAAGGACATGAACATTTTGGTCACTTTATTTTCATAATTCCAAATTGCTCTCCAAGATGGTGAACCACAAGGCTTTAAGATAGTCAACACTGTGATATGTCACTCAGAATTAAGAGGAACACAGCCTCCAGTAAAGTGACAGTTCTACTGTACTCTTCCCTTGTCAGGCCTCATGTATTGTGTTCAGTTCTGGGCATCACAATTCTGGTAGAACTTTCATAAGCTGGAAAGTATCCAGTAGCCAGCATTGTGAAGGGCCTTGAATCTCTGTGCATCTCTGGAAGGAACTATGGGGTATTATCCTGGAGAATAGAGGCTCCATGATAGGCTTCTTCAAGTATTTGAAGGCTATCCTGTGGAGGAGGGATTAAATTTGGTCTTTAGCTCCAGAGGGATAACTCAATAGCAATGGTTAGAAGATGTAAAGGGATAAATCTATGTTTGATGTTAGGACAAATTTCCTAAAAATTAAAGCTTATCTACATGTGGAGTAGTTTGCCTGAAAAGAAAGGTGGATAGGTTCCTTACCATCCCCTAGAGGTCTTCAGACAGAGTCTGAATGCCCATGAGTTGAATGTTCTGTACTGGGGATTCTTTCCATATTTAAGATGGATGACTTGATACCAGAGTTCTCTCCCAACTCTCAAATTCTATGATGCTGTGAAAATTCTTAACCAACTCATTTGGGCATTTGGGACTACTATTTTCACACTTCTAGTTTGTTAAAAAAAACATTTTCTCTTTGATTCATAAAAAGCACGGTTATGAAAGCTGTCATGAGTAATCATGAATTTGCAAGTTTGTTGATGAAGTGGAGAGAGAAATTACTTTGCTTAAAAAAAAACCTCAAAGTAAAAACAACGTTCCACAAGCTTAGTAGTATTCTATTTCTACATTATAGCAGGCTATCATTCTATTTTATATCCTTGTCTTTTTGTGTATTGAAAACACCCTCTCTTCTCTGTCTCTCTCTCTCTGCTGAACTTTTTTAAATCTTTGTAATAACCAGAAAAATTATGTTTCCAAATGTAAAGATTTTTTTAAACAATTCTTTCCTTTTCAGTTGAATCTTAACCTCATTTGTTCAACAAGTAACTGTTGAATGTATTTTCGCTCACACACATGTGCACACCCACCCACTACTTTAGGGACCATGAAGAGTCAAAAGAATAAGGAACAATCCCTGACTTCATGGACCCTTTCTAGGCTATTATGGCTAGATGGGGTGGCCATGTGCTGTCATATTGTGTGTGCTCATTTGTCAATATTCCTAAATGTCGTATTGAAAATAAGTACACCCCAAAGTAAAGAGGGCTTTGGAAACAGAAGTTCCTACATTTTAAAATATCATAGTCATTGCTTCTGACTTGATTTCATATGCAGTATTTATATACGTATATATGTGTTTGTATATGTTTTCCCCAAGTAGAGAGGAGAAAAAAAATATAGACCAAGCATAAAATGGTGATTTCCGTGGAAACATTTGATAGTGACAGGATCAAAAATATGATTGTTGTTGATATTGATTGTTGATGTTGACTATGTTGTCTTTATTAATCTGATTTTGAGCTAATTATCTTGGGGAGGACCAGGCCACCAATACCTGATCAGTACCTACGTTCCACTTTGGGCCATTCTAGGGAGATTTATTCTGTTAGTTTTATTTCTGAATACACTATCTAAAATGTTCTTGGCAGTTTAGAGTGGTGGCAGTTTTGGAAGGAGCTAATTATTTTGAATTTTGAAAGCATGAAATATCATCTTCAATGTCTCAGGAATATACTCTGATGTCTTCCATACTCTGTCAGTTTAGTGAGGGGGTAATCTTGTTTCTGAAAGGACAGCATCTAAATTGAAATTTCTACCGATTCCTCTTGTAATGGGCTTTTTTTTTTTTTTACAACTCTCTTAGAAAGCTGGAATTTATTTAGCTATGAATGGGGAGTAAAATGAAGTTAAAAGGTTGGACATAGGGCAAATCTGTTGTTGCTACTGTTTCTTTAGCTGAAGTTTATTACAAGGGTCTGTGCAGTGACTAGAAGCCGTGTGTGTGTGTGTGTGTGTGTGTGTGTGTGTGTGTGTTTTAAAAGGAAAGCAGAGGTTTGTTCATTTGTTTGCCTATTGTGAAGCTGTCTTTTGCACCTTTATGTGCTTTTGTAATAGGGTGAAGTCTACTGAATGGAGGCCTTGTGCCCTGTGTTGATTTTAAGCCCTAGATGTTAATCCACAGGAACCTGCTGGTCTACGCAGCAGGGAGGGCTGTTACAAGTAGAAATCTGGGATTGGGAAAAAGTGAGTGTGTGTGTGGGGGGGAGAGAGAGAGTGTGTGTGTGTGTTGGGAGTGAGGGAAGAGTGATAATAATTATTCACCCATCAGCTTTTGTCACCCATGAGCTTAATTGTTACCCTCTGCTGGTTACCAGATTGAAAAGTTGCCCTTTCAAAGGTCCCTTGATTTTATTTACCATGTGCATGCTGATGATCTGGGACCTTATTGTCCTTCCAATACTAAAAACCTAAAGTATTATGATTTAGTTTTGGGGCAAGGGAAGGCAGTAAATTTTTAACGGTCACCTTTAATTTCTAATTCTGCTCTGTCTCCTGATTAACATCTGTACTATTTCATTCTGAGGGAGAAATGGTTGAAAGGAGAATATTCTTGTTTATTTGGTGTACTTTTTTATGCAGAGCCTGGGTGAATCCAGACCGCACCAACACCTTTGCTAGTTAAGTCTAATTTGTTAAGTTTGTACTCTGAGGAGTGCAGCTATTAAACCAAAGTTTCTTGACTCCAGCTCCCTTCTTTTTTTTTTTTTTAAGAAGCTATGTAATTTAAAGTGTGTGTACTGTATGAGAAAGGGGTGGGGCAAGGAGAAGCTTTTTATAAAATTTTAGCTGAAAAATATTATCTTTATAAACAATATTTAAGTGACATGAATATTAAAAGGGGGAAATAAAAAATATGTTCTATTTTGCACTGAGTTGAACTGTCTGGCGGAATCGGGGACAGAAACTTTGAAGGTGTGATGTTTTCTTTCCCCTTTTCATCTCCATAATCAGAAACTGGTTCTTCAGGTTGTGGTGCCAGTTAGACATGCTATAATGAGTGTTTCACATTCTGCCTTCCTCCTTGACTTCAGGTGTAAATGGCTGTAATAAAAAATAAATATTTAGCATTTTGGCATTGTTCTTCAGCTAGAGATCTGTAATGAGCAGGAACTTGCTAGTAAAAAGTAAGTTTTATATATAGTATGGTAGTTTGGATTACATAACATTGTTTTCGCAAAGGGTTTCAACCACCGATAATAAATATCTTCGTTAAAGTGTTTGAGAACATGTGAGAAAAGACTTTAGAATCAGTTTATTGTGCTGTAACAAATTTGTGAGAACTGCATGAGTCCCAGAACCCTTGTTTTCCTTTGCAATGCATAAAAACAGTGCCAGATTAACAGGGATAATTCCGTGCATTTTTATTTGCTAAATATCGAGGACATTGTGAACTTAATAATTATTTATAATGGTGTTTCAGGTAGGGATTATGGAAGACAAATGAGTAACAAACAAGTTGCTGAAGTTGCTGATTATGCTAATTTTTTCAGAGGAAATACTATAGGATAATCTATCTAAATTAATATTTAGTCATAAGATATGACTTAAGAATTATTGGAGAGTTTGGTTTCAGTTCTTTTACTCTTCCTTTGCCCAGTCCAAATATTAGATAATTTTATTTGTTCTCATAATTAAATTATACACTGCTCTGGAGTAGTTCTTTCACCATCAAAAATGCTTCTGTTTTATAAATAAAATGTTGAAAGTCATAATAGGCATAGCATATTTATGATTTTGCTGAAATGAAACCTGTCAATATATACATTTAAAAATAAATTATTTTCTAATTTGCCTACTTGTCACTATCCATTGAGAGATATTTATAAATTTCCTTTGTTTTGTATTTGTTTAGGATATGTCTCAGGAAGGCTATGGAACTAGATCTCAACCTCCTATGGCACCAGGAAAGCCCAACCATGAAGACTTGAGCCTCATACAGCAAGAAAGACCATCAAGTTTACCAGTAAGACATTAATCTGCCTGTTCTGGAAATGTAATTAATATATTGAAAAATGAGCCATTATGTATCGCGCCTATGTTAATTTGAGAGGTGGGAAGAAACTCTTGAACTAGAAATCTGGTTTTGGAGTTTTATAGAGTGTTTCTTTTCAAAGGGTATGTTTTTAGAAGGCAGATGCTATAAGTAATTAACATTAATTCTGATGATAGTCTTTCCTAAAGGGACTCTCTTTGGTAATTATTTCAGTTGCAGACTTTTCCATCATTGGCCATAATCAATAAAAGAAATAACATTTCTGTCATACATTTTTTGCTGATTTTAATCCTTAAAAGTTTCTTTTTTCTGTTGTTTTTTAGTCTATGTGTACACCCATACACAAATAAATACCCCCACTCCTACCCCCATCCCCTCCTATGCTGAACCCCACTTTCCCACCCCCACCCCCTGAAAAAATTTCATTAAGTCTAAATGATGACATAAAACATTAAGGGATTCTATAGCAGTTTTTTTTTTTTTAACCTTTTAGTAGTGGGAGAATGGCTCATTTTATCTTGAGTCTCCTTATCTATTTTTTTTCATTCCAGTGGAAGTATTTCTCTTTTACTATTAAAAATGAAAAATTTGTGAAATACAACCAGTATGCACTCAACATGGCATCCATATACAAAACTCAGTGTTCGCCTTATGTGTGTTATGTGCGTTATCCCTTTGAAACTCTTAAATTAATAAAATTTCTTTTAGTTCCAGATAATCCTTTTAGACAGTTTTATCTGTACTTGATTTATTTCAATCTTAAATAATCTATTTATAAAATGAAAGACACTTTTCTTAGTTACTTTTTTGTTAAAAATATTCAGCTGTATTCATAGAGCAATCAGTATGGCTCATAAACTCCATTAAAAATGATTGTCGAAGGATGGAAATTAACTAAAAGCTGCGATAGCATTTGTTTTTATTTGAGCCTCAGGGATGAATGAACCAAGATATAATGTATTAGTTTATAAATACTTGAGAATAAACATTGGTAATGAGATGGTTGTTAAACACATATACTCTACCTTACCTTACATGTTTTGGAATTAATAATACTCATTTAGCATTTTAGGAGGTAAGTGCTAGCTGCAAGGTGTAAACTTTGTTTGGATCTTCTGTTTTGCATGTATTTTTGATACCCCTAATTAACAATATTTGCGTCTGAAAAAGCAATGTGCTGTTTGCATTCTCAGAATACTTTCTTGACTCTCTGGCTGTTTGACTGTGAACGGAGGTTAGCTGGTGTTTTGGGTGGGCATATGCTCATTTATTGTCTTGGCCGAATTTCTTAAACCTTTTGTTGATCAAACGTGATCTTTGCTGAATATTCAGAAATTGTTTTCTCAAATTAAAAATGGCTTCCTAGAATGGCCTGCAAAAAGAAGTGCATGAACTTCTTTACTTTTGCTCTATTTTCGTGCTTTCATGTCTTGATTTCTTAGTGTTTTTTGTTGGAGTTGTATATTTGTGCTGTAGCAGGTTTGCAGAGAGTTCTTATTGGCTAGTGTGCATTTTGTCCAGGAGTGTTTGGAAGTGTGCAGTGTTTCTTGTGCGGTAACTTTTATATTTTAGAGTTATTGGATATGTTTTAAAATCCTCTTTTCTCCTGTTCTCAGATTAAGGGTTTCATAAATGATGGTTGACAACCAACTGTAAAGAAAAACTAACGAGGAAATGAACTGTTATAACAGATTAAATAATTGAAAAGCTCTGCTCTGGGAAGTTTGCTTCATTGCCCTCCTTATCCTTGAATCCTTCTTTTCCCGTGTCCAGCATTATAAAGAGGGAGCTGCTAACATTTATTATTGACTAATTGTTTTCAGTTAATAATTCACAGTCCTTGTAAACTGTTCGGCATTTCAATCTCTTAGGCTATTGTATTTGAGATCTTTAGCAGTTGTTCCTTTATCACAATTTTTTTAAAAAGATATTGGCTTATTTTGGATGTATGCATCCTATTGGTCAGATCTAATACAGTAATTTTTTTTTTTTATGTGAGACAATTGGGGTTGAGTGACTTGCACTGAGTCACACAGCTTGTGAGTGTTATGTGTCTTAGGCCGCATTTGAACTCAGGTCTTCCTGACTCCAGGGCGGGTGCTCTATCCAGTGTACCACTTAGCTGTGCCCTAATACAGTAACCTTTTTGAGGATATGAGAAGAATCCTAGAAGTACCATTTTCTGAATGGTTCCAAAGCAAATAATAGATTTTCTGATTCTTATGAAAACCAGCTTGTCTACACGGAAATCACATTTTCAGTAATGGTAAATGACCTACATATTCATAGGGTCATAGATTTAAAGCTGGTAGTGACCTTAGAGATCATATGTCCAAGCCCCTCATTTGACAGAGGTAGAAACTAAGGCCAAGAGAAGCTTCTTTCCCCAACCTGAGGCTAAAAGATGCTACCTAACTTACTCAAGTTTATATGAGTAGTAAAGATAGATATCAAGTTTAGGGCCTTTTTATTTCAAATTCAGTGCTCTTTCCCCTGCGTATATCCTGTTTCTTATTCCTTACTTCCATGTATAGTTTAACTCTTGACACTGCATCTAGGTATATATGTTTATATTTTCTGATATGTCTTAAGTTGATGTTTATATCATCATATTCCAGTGCCTAATGAATTTTCTGTTGTGACCATGTTCCATTATATTTCATTCTTAGGCATTTTTAGGGTGCTGCATATGAGCCTATGTTCTCTATCACTACTTACTTGAAGGGTAATTGCTTGTATATACTACTGTTTGTTGGAAAAGCATACTAGATTTTAGGTCTGAGACCTGAATTTGAATCCTACCCCTGCTCCTGGTCATTTATTTGATCTCGAACCAGCTAGTTTATCTTTATTGCCCTTAATTACGTCTGTAAAAATGAAGGGGTTGCTCTATATGCTCTCTCATATCTCTTTCTACTTTGAATCTATGATCTTATGATTTATGGTGTCTAAGTATAATCAACAGGAGCCATCGATTGTCAAACTAGTCATAATATAGCTTTACCTATCCTCAGACTGATTGTTGTTTTTGGTTGTGCATGAAATAGCTTTATTGGCACTCACCCAATTCTACAACAAACCAACCTTACCAAGCTTGTCTTGTTTTCAGTTTTGTAGATCTAATTTGGCAAAGTTGATGTTTTAGGTACTCAAGACTGATTCACATTGGAATATACTGTTGGGCCATTTGTAGATTCATTACATGGTTTTTACTCATTCTTTACAAATATTAGTTATGTCAATCTATGACCATTCAGTTTTGATGATAAATTAAATCACTGATGACATTTGAATGTCATCTATCTTGTGATACTAGAGGGAGGGATGTTTCTAGTTATAATTGTCTGATGAAGTGTGCAGTGAAACGTACACGATGATCAATGGCTTTCAGAGATGTATGCTGGATAACTTCCTATCCTCCCAAGTCAATATATGAGCTAAAACTGGAATAAAAATACTCATTACATAAAATCTTGGTACTTCCATTAAGATGGATATGTAATTCCACCCCCCACCCCCATATCTGACCTAAGTATTTTCTTTGCCTTTTCCTTAATTGTTGCATGTTTGATGTCTCATGGCTACTCGAAGCCAAAATATTTAGATTCTTCTTTTGACTAGGTTTTTAAAATAAATTAATCTTTCCTGGAAGTTGATATTTCATTTGTATTGATTTACATACATACATATCAAGCTTTATTATTCTATTATCTCTCTAATCAATGTTAATTTTTAGTAGTTTATTAAGCTCTATTTTAGAGTTGGCAAATAGTTTCTAAACTTCAATTTAAGACCAATGGTCAGTGATATATTTGTTTTCATGTTGTCCCAGAGCCATAGTTAATATATACTTTTCTACTTAATAGAAGCATATCTCAGAAGGATGAAAGAATATTCATTAAAATATCTTTATGTTACATATATAGGACAGTCTCCCTTGTTGAAAGCTAGGGATAGGAACTGGACTGAAATATATAATATTGTGTTTTATTATTACTTCAGCAATGGCAATCTTTACTACTACTGTGAAACTCCATGTTATAGTGGATGGAAGACTGGCTTTGGAGTCTGGAAGACCTAGGTTCCAAGTCCTTCCAATGAGACATCCTTGCTTGGGCTAGTCACTTAAGCTTAGTGCTCCAGATGACTGACTATCTAGTACTGTCATTTACTTGGTGTGGCTAAGTGGGTTAGTGGAGAGAATTTTCACACCGGAATTCTCCCCCCTCAGCTATCTCCCTCCATGTTGTCCCCAATTTTCACCCACTAATTCTCCTGTTATTAATTGCAAGAAAAAAAAAATATATATATATATGCACACACACATATATGTGTGTATATACATACATACATACACACACACATATATATGTGTGTAACTATCTCTGTATCTGTCTAATGGTGGTGAAATGAGCTGTTGGATTCCCAGTCCCTTGCTACATTATAGTTCACAACTTAAAAACATATTATAAGTTGAATTCACTTTGGATTTTGGTAAAATAGAGAGTCAGAATTTATGGAACTCTAAATTTAAAAAAGAACCAAATTATGGTAAGAGGTATTTTGGAGGAAAAATAATGTTTTTAGATATAAATTCCTTATGCATAAATTTTATATTCTTTTTTGAAAGAATTATAGCTTCTCAGCTATACCTAACCTCATGTCTTTTTTAACATTAACAGTACATTTCTTTGTAAAAAGAATCTATGTGTTTGGAATTGAAGATATTTTCATCTGATCCTGTCTGAAATTGATGCACTGAAACATCATGTCCTAAAAGTAGTGACATGTTAACATCCATAGAAATACTCTTTGGAACCCTGTTATTGGTGCCTGAAGTAATAAAGGGAGTATCTCCTTAGGAAGTTCAATTTTGTTTATTTTTAGCGTTTTCAGAACACTTTTGTTTAATGTATAAACTCTATATTTTCATTGTTGCTGTGTTAATATGAATCATTGTAAGATCACAT